TATCTATCTATCTATCTATCTATCTATCTATCTATCTATCTATCTATTTCTCCCTCATCCCTACTTCCATCCTTGTCTGTCTGTCATCTAATTATCTACCCATCCATCCATCTAATCTATCCATCCATCTTCTATCTCTCCTTCCCTCATCCCTACATTCATCCATCCATTATGCATTTGTGATTTATAACAAGAGGTCTCTGTAATTCTAAAGTTAACCTTCTATCCAAGTTCCTTAAAGGACCAAAGATATTAAATAACGCCCAGGGTTTTGTTAATTGGCTTGGCTATATCCACAATCAACTGTTGTTGTTTTTTTAAAATCAAGGTCTCAGAAAACTTTAATTAGCACCCCATCTCCTACGTAAAAGCATTTACTGAGCCCTAGGAACTTCCAGGAGAAATTAACTTGAGCGTCGCCATTAAATAAAATAAAATTGAAAGCTAACTAAGTACAGGTAGTACTTAGACATAATCATCCCTGAACAAGTTATGGTGGTTGTTTCTTAGATGAAAACCAGGTGAGATGGGACGACACATACAACTTATACAATACTTTCAATCATGTCGTCAGAATCCTTCCACTGACAATATCAAGGAAGGATGAAAGGAGAAACCAAAGCAAACTTTACATTTAATTTGGCCCCATTTTACGACCTTTCTTGCCACAGTCATTAAGTGAATCATCAGAGTTGTTAGGTTAATAACCCGGTTGTTAAGTGAATCTGGCTTCCCCATTGACTTTCCTGGTCAGAAGGTCGCAAAAGGGGATCGCGTGACTCCGGGACGCTGCAATTGTCATAAATGTGAGCCGGTTGCCATGTGGAGGATGCTGCAATGGTCGTAAATGTGGAAAAACTCCCCATCATAAGTCACTTTTTCAGTGACAGTCACTCAACGAACTTAAGTTGAGAACTACCTGTAATCTCAAGCAATGAGCCGTGGTGGCATAGTGGTCAGAGTGCAGTACTGCAGGCTACTTCTGCTGACTGCCGGCTACCTGCAATTCAGAAGTTTGACTCTCACCAGGCTCAAAGTTGACTCAGCCTTTTGTCCTTCTGAAGTGGGTAAAAGGAGGACCCAGATTGTTGGGAGGCAAGAGGCTGACTTTGTAAACTGCTTAGAGGGCTGCAAAGCACTGTGAAGTAGCATATAAGTCTAAGTGCTATTGCTAACTAGGAAGGAAGGAAGGAAGGAAGGAAGGACAGACTATAGTAGTGTAGTGGTGAGACTGTGGTATCCAAGGCCAGTTCTGCCGGCTGTCAGGAGTTCGATCCTAACCGGATCGAGGCTGACTCAGCCTTCCATCCTTCTGAGGTGGGTAAAATGAGGACCCAGATTGTTGGGGGCAAGAGGCTGACTCTGCAAACTCCTTAGAGATGGCTGGAAAAGCACTTGTGAAGTGGTATATAAGTCTAAGTGCTATGGCTAATTTGTATATTGGATTTTTTTCTCAAGTGAGATTCTTTCTATATGAAGTCAAGATCGAAGCCTATGGCCGCTACTTAAAAAATCAACTTGGTCTAAATAACTAGACAAGGTGTTTGTTTGTTTTTTAAACTTTTAAAACAGAATTTATTCTCCTCCTGGCTGTCTCCCTATCCATATAAATTTGTGTTTGTGTGTGTACCTTTTATACTTGTCTGTCTGTCTATTAAATTTATATTGTCGCCTATTCACCCATGGTGACTTGAGGCGGCTTACAGAATGTCAAACTATATTTAAAACAAAAAAAAATAAAAATTAACAAAAAGAATCAAATAAATAAATAAAATAGAACAAAATCTGAAAATAAATAAATAAAAAATCACCTCCCAACTCCCACTCCTATCTCTGCTCATCCTAGCAGAGTTTTAGTTTTAGTTTAATTTAATTTAGTTTATTGTCACTGCACCTTGTACAACGAAATTAAATGCCATCTTCAGTGTACATTGTAACTATAAAAATAAAAACACAAAAAGACAACTGAGTTGAGAATCGCTGATATTGCATTAATATTGCACTATATGGTAGAATTCAACAGAGTTCCTGCCCTGGGATAGAAGCTGTTTTTCAGCCTATTTGTCCTTGTTTTTATTATTATCCTGTACCGTCTGCCAGATGGTAATAGTTTAAACAAAAAAAAAAAGGGTGCCCAGGATGAGATGGTTCTTTGAGAATGTTTTCAACTTTCTTAAGGCAGCGGGAGCTATAAAGCTCTTCCAAAGAGAGGAGAGGGCAACCCATGATCCTCTGGGCAATGACGTTAACCCTCCTATTTTGGTAGTTCTTTTATTTTCTTTATTCTCAGAACTAAAAGCAGATGGAAGAAGAGACTAGCTGGCAGGGAAATCACTCTTGACCTAAAGGAGAATAAATACTTATAGATGGCTATACGGAGGGTCCACATTTTCCTGTAGAAAATGTGCAATTACCTGCATGTATCCTGTTTCAGCTGTTTTTACAGCTGTATCGACAAGACCTTCCCGACCAGCCATGGTGTGGAAGAAAAATTCGGTGGGTGTCAACCCAGAATAGAAGCTGTTGGCCACAAAACCTTTAGCGGCTGGAAGCTGGAAAAAAAAAGGGCAGGGGGAGAATTCTTTAGAAATAATATCACTGTAGAATTTACTTCCAACAGTCAGCACCGTTAACACGTTAGAATAGCACCAGCGGGCACAGATTCAAATTGCCACTGGGTAATTAATTAAAGCACATCAATCTAATTGGCTCCCTGGGAAGGTCAAATCGGAAGATATCTGGTCGCGAATTCCTTGGAGGAAGGTAAAATATCATTCAAAGGACACGCAGGCTTGTGATCAGAATCGGTAAGTTAATCTAACATCTTTGTGCATCTTTTATTCCACTCCAAGAGCATCTCCTATTTCCTGGTGGGACCTGCAGGATTCCACTTCCTCGGCAGAACCCCAAATCCCAAAATTCTCTCCGTTTCCCAAATGAAGAGAACTGGAGAAGTTGCCCGACAGAATTGCCTTGTATTTATAGAATTAAGATCCACATTCTGTCCTGTGTCTAAAACATAGCGTTCTGGTTCTTGATCCAAAACAGCAGCAATCGGCATTTTCTGATCATGGCTTTTAACTGTTCAAAATGATTTACGTCCTATTATTCTTGTAGGAACTTCATAGCATCGGTCAGGGCTCTTCAAACTTGGCAGCTTTAAGTCTGGTGGACTTCAACTCCCAGAATTCCTCCTCCTCCAGTCATGTGAGCTCAGGAATTCTGGGAGTTGACGTCCATAAGCCTTAAACTTGCCAAGTTTGAAGACCCCTTGACATAGGTCAACAGTGCTTAAATAAGCTGAACACTTCCATCGACAGGCAGAGCGGAAAGATTTGAATGACTCTTAGCTATCATTTTGGGAGACCGGACTGGCATAGTAGCCAAAGATGCTTGGCAAGGAACGAGCAAAGTTCTAGGTCTCCCTTGGCATGGTTCTAGGCATGGAAGGCAACTGGATGTCTTTGGGTCCACTACTTTCTCTCAGCCTTAGTCTGGGAAGATGAAAGATGTCCCAGAAGAAGACACTGGTGAACCATTTCTGAAAATCCAGGGACAACCATGACCTGGAGGACTTGAGAATCTCTACAGACTTTTAGCTATGCAATTTAGGATGAACACCCTTGGAATGGCATGGGAGTAGAAACGGATTTCCAGAGGAAAAAATTGCAGACTGCAGGAACCAGGAGACCCTGAGAGCACAGATAAACCTTCAAGTGGCCTCAACGACACTCTAAAATAGGGGCGTCAAACTTGCCGCGTGACATTTCTCCCTTTCGCAGAGCTGGGTGGGCGTGGCCTGCGTGTGACTCATCTGGCCTGCCAGTTTGACACCCCTGCTCCAGGTAAAGGTTCCCCTTGCACATACGTGCTAGTCATTTCCGGCTCTAAGGGGCGGTGCTCATCTCCATTACAAAGCCAAAGAAGAGCCAGCACTGAGTGAAGACGTCTCCGTGGTCATGTGGCTGGCATGACTTAACGCCAAAGGCTCACAGAACGCTGTTACCTTTCCACCAAAAGGGTCCCTATTTTTCTACCTCCATTTTGACGTGCTTTCGAACTGCTAGGTTGGCAGAAGGTGGGACAAGTAACGGGACCTTACTCCGTTACGCGGCGCTAGGGATTTGAACCGCTGAAGTGCCGATCTTCCTGATCGGCAAGCTCAGCGTCTTAGCCCTGAGCCACCCCTGCTCTCAAAGGATGCAGATGTCCAGCTGTCTTCAAGAAGTGCAAATCCTTCCATTCATCACTATCCTGCCAGAGCTGAAGAAGCTTCTTGGAGGAGAAGCGAAACGTCTTCAAGAAGAAAAAAAAAAAAAGCAAGAAAGTCGGGTTGCCTCCTGAAAAAAACACTTTGGGGACCATTTCTGAAAATGTTGCCAAGAAAAATTGGAAAGGAATTGTGGTCTCCAGGTATGAAGAGAAGGATCATAACAATTATCACCTGGATCGAAAGTTCACCTTCATCTTATCTTCTATTTTCACCAGGCTGCTTCGTTTGATAATATTGCCGAGGTCCTATCTAACTTCCGGGCTTCTTACCTTGGAATGCTTCTCAAAATGAGGCAAGGATCGGTTTTCAAAGCCGTCAGGAACACGGGACCCACTGATGGCTTGCTGGCCTACACAAGCAATCATCTGGGATATATTAATAAAGGATCCTATTAGGAGGGGAAAAAATGACAACAACCAAGGTCAGCAACACCTTGGTCTCAGGACTGAAAGCAACATGTTATCATGCTGTTTCCCAACTCCACCCCCATTCTGCTACGATCGGTAAAATATCAAAAGTCAATATATTAAGCTTGTTCCGCTACCCTATAACATTGCATTTATGGTGAATAAGTTCTTCTTGTGATGGCTTTACTCTTTGACTGATTGTGAATCAATCTCTACCCCAGCAGCTGAGCTTAAACAGAGACACACAGAGAGAGACAGAGACACACAGAGAGAGAGAGAGGCAGAGAGAGACAGAGACAGAGAGAGAGAGAGAGGGAGAGAGAGAGAGAGAGAGAGAGAGAGGCAGAGAGACAGACAGACTCACACACACACACACACACACACACAGAGGCAGAGAGAGAGAGAGAGAGAGACAGACAGACAGACACACACACAGACACACAGAGAGAGAGGCAGAGAGGCAGAGAGAGAGAGAGAGAGACAGAGTGAGAGAGAGACACACAGAGAAAGGCAGAGAGAGAGAAACAGACACACAGGGAGAGACAGAGAGAGAGACACAGAGAGAGAGAGAGAGAGAGAGAGACAGAGAGAGGCAGAGAGAGAGAGACAGAGAGAGAGACACACACACACACACACAGACACACACATAGAGAAAGGCAGAGAGAGAGATACAGAGATACACAGACACACAGAGAGAAACCGAGAGAGAGGCAGAGAGAGAGAGACAGAGAAAGGCAGAGAGACAGAGACAGAGAGAGAAAGGCAGAGAGAGAGAAAGAGACACACACAGAGGGAGAGAGAGAGACAGAGAGGCAGAGAGAGAGATACAGAGTGAGAGAGAGACACACACAGAGAGAGAGACAGAGACACACAGAGAGAGAAAGGCAGAGAGAGAGAGAGAGACAGACAGACAGACACACACACACAGAGGGGGA